AATCATGGCACAAAAGGCAATTTGCAGTGACACACAGAACTAGTCATCAGAGAAGCCTTGGTTCAAACTCAGGCAGTCTGTCTTGGGTGTGTAAAACATTAAGAACCCGAGGACCTGTTTTCTGTTATTGGCATCTGAATGGTAAATAAGTACATTCCTTGCTACAGGTGGCTTGAGGGTTGCAACGATCTTTTCTCCTAGTTAATACCTTTTGATAGCTATTGTAGGAAACAAGTGGGGACCTATGGCACAAAGGCCCAGCTCCACTGGGTGCCATCTCACTTGTCTTGGCTTTTGCCCCCTTCTACAAATCTGGACTGTCCATCCAACTTCCTTCTCAGCTCATGGTATTTCCACAAGCACATGCCCTGTACTGAGGACACACTTTTATTCTAAAGTGCATGTGCAGCACATCTTGCATAATATCATCAGAAATCTCAATGTTCTCCTCTGGGGCCTGGCTGTTGGAGTGTTTAGTAAAGGAGTATGGCTGGGGCAGCACCTGTGCACTATGGAGCCGATGCCTGGGCTTGATTCTCTGCTGCCTTCAACATTTCTTCAAGACGGCTGGTGCCACAGCTTGCCTCCATCTTTTGAAGAGGACAGCCTAGCACCTTGAAGTTCCTTTCATCACAGTCAGGGGTGATTCCCAACTCAGGCACAGCCAGGGAAGAAGATGTGGGGCTTAGTCTGATGGCCGCATTGTCTTTAAATCCAAAAACAGGAGTTCCCAGGCCTTTTCTTAGCAAAGACTGCTTCTAGTGTCCTCAATCATCCACCAGCCATGGCTCTGCACTTGCTAAGTTATCACTTAGCGTCTCTATTTTATTAATCAGAACCAAAGAAAGGGTTTGTTAGCATCACCAATCAGGACTACTGCCTGGGTTAAAGTTTGTTGTTGTTGTTGTTGTCAGGTGCCATCAAGTTGGAACCGACTCATAGCGACCCCATGCACAGCAGAACAAAACTATGTCCAATCCTGGGCCAACCTCACTACCGCTGCCACACTTAACGCCATCAATGATGCCACCTGGCCGATCCATCTCGTTGGAGGTCTTCCTCTTTTTCTCTGACCCTCTATCCTACCCAATATGACATCCTTCTCCAGCGGCTGTTCCCTCCTGACAATATGTCCAAAGTATGAGAGATGGAGCTTAGCCATCCTGGCCTCCAAGGAGCACTCTGGCTGCACTTCTTCCAAAACAGATCTATTGGTTCTTTTGGCTGTCCATGGCACTTTTAGTATTCTCCTCCAACACCACAACTCAAAGGCATCAATTCTTCTACAATCTTCCTTATTCACTGTCCAGCTTTTGCATCCATATGAGGTTATTGAAAATACCATGGCTTGGGTCAGGCAATAGAAATGTTTCCTTTAACTTGGGCAACCTTATGTAAATGTTTTGACTTTAATATTTGGAATATTGAAAATTATACATAAACTTGGTCCATTACCTGTCACACTGTAGCATGGAAACCACAGGAATAATGACTTAAGGACTCTACAAGCTGAACCTATGAGTCACTTGTTGTTAAGTGCCATAGAATTTGTTTTGACCCATAATGACCCTGTATAGGATTTCTAAGGAGCAGCGGGTGAGCTTAGACTGCTGACCTTGTGGTTCAAACCAACTTCACAGTGTAGCACGTTAACCCCCAGTGCCAGACCAGGACTCCCCTGGCTATACTGTTCATATCCAGGACTCAGATTATTCAAGTGCAGGCCTTCATCTTTCACTCAGTTTGTATACAAGGTCACCATATCCATTCTTACTGGTCCCTTATCATTTCCTTTGAGGACCAGGAGATGTGCTTCCCTAAGGCCCAAATCCTGTCTAGTGACTGAATCATCTAGTTGCCCCAAGTTTTCAATCCTGTTTTCTAATTTTGCTTTCGGTAACTACCCAACCCTCCTCCCAACAGCATTTGCTATCTATTTTGATAGATTTCTTGAAGGTTTGAGCCCATTCTGCCCACATGCAGAATGATCAGGGAGCTAATGCAGATTGTGAAGGGGATTCCCAAGAGAGTTGGTCTTTGGCTCACACAAAATCCTGAAGATTTAACTTAATAGAAAGGCAATGAATTCCCATTAAAGGATTTAAGAACCCCCCAAAACAAGATGGGTTTGCCACATTCCCCATTTTCACTGTCTTTATTTTTCCAGGCTGACCATATTCCTATGCCTCTCTTTTTCTCCCCAGCAGATAACTGCCTGAGAAAAGGTCTTTGTCCTGCCCACCCCTGTCCACATGCTCCGGAATATTTTATTGCTATTAATACCTCAGCCCTAGCCGCTCTGCATCTGGGAAGCTGATGAGAACACGATAATGCCGAGACTGTTTCGGGCAGAGCCAAGTTAGGATTAATGAGGGTTAAAGGGCAGCCCTCCTGGCATGGTGCTGTAGGATAAGCACTGGACTGCTAACCACAAAGTCAGTGGCTCAAACACACCAGTTGCTCCTTGGAACTGACTTCATGGCACTTAAGGAGTGTCCAATATCAGTAAAAGGCAAGCCACCACAGTACAACAAATTCTGACAGGTGGTAAAGTTGGGATGGGGGCCGGGGTCACTAATTCCAGCAACATAAATGAGGCAGAATTTGTGTAAGCCCACAGGACATGGCTAATTGGAGAGACTTTGCCTAAGTAGTCTCCAGTATTGAACTTTGTTTTTTGAGTTAATACAAAAAATGTTTTGGGATATTTGGCTAAACATCAGATGCCAAGGTTTAAACAGTCCAACTGACTGGTGTAACATCATAGGATAAGAACTGGAGTGCTAAATGAAAGGCTGGTGGTTCCAATCCATTAACTGCTCCCTGGCAACTTTATACAGGGTCACTATGAGCTAGAATGACTCAATGCACTTAACAACTACAGTAGACTAATATTCGCTATCTGACAACTTAGACTATTGAGAAATGTTGTTGAAACAAAAATATTAAAAAAAGATCCAATCCTTTTCATATTTAATATTTTAGAGATCTCTTAGGCACCAATCTTTATTTAAAAGAAATATTCTTCTGATATTTGCCAATTACTCATATTTTGACTTTTTTTTTTCTTGTCTTAGCCCAGAGGGTATTTTTTGTTTTAAAAGGTCTAAAATGTCTTTGATTTAGCTTTTCAAATATCAACACTATAGTCTGTAAAGTTTCTTAAGTCTAAATCAAACCTTAAAAATAAGCACCATCTGTCAGAAAGGAAATGACTTCTACATGAATGGAGATTAGTAAGTGCGTAGATTGATTCCATAGAGTATTTCTTTTATTGTAAATGTCATCAGCTCTGAGCCCTGGGAAGTAGAAATAGCCTTATTAAAGAGATTCAGACATTGTGACAGTGTTCAGCAAAATTAGATTTTTCTTATGGGGAATTGCAAATACTTGAGTATTACAAGACCTGAAGTATTACCATAGCTGACCACATATGTTCTCATTTTTGTCTTCTGCCAAAAGATTTGGTCTTTTGCCATCATGTATTCAAGAAAGAAAAAGAAAAAGAAAAGAAAAAAAATCCTGTGCTCTATATCAACTATAAGGAAATTGTAAAATGCCGGTAAGGTAGGACAAGTAATGAATGACTAGAAGCAGAAAGTCTTCAGAATGCAGGTGGATGGGGTTTTTCAGCCCAGACAGCTTCACCCAAGACCGACTACACCAAGTCTGCTCCTTACCACACACAGCCAGGTGCAAGCAGACAGGCAGCTAGCTTCTGGGCATCGCATGCCACACTCAGTGCCAGATTTAGCAGGAGGTTGCTTGGCAAAGTTCTCCAACAAAAAATATATCATCTGATAAAAGAGAAATGTATCTAAATAAAGATACACCATGTCTTCTGTTAGGAAATGTGCTTCCCAGGAGATTGAAGTCAGATTTGATTTTCAACTATACATTATGGCTTTCATCATGATGTGAAACAAATAAAATTGTGGCAGTGGTTTCTTTTTTTCTTTTATTCACAAACTTATTTTTAAGGAGAAAACATATGAGATAGATTAATAATGTGACTCTTCTTTATCTATCTCCAAATGCTTGTTCTCTCTCATTTTGTTTTTTCTTTCAAAGGCATTTCCAAAATGAAAAGGAAACATACTCCCTGACATTCTGTGTTATTTCTAATTTCCATGTGAAAAATGAGACAGACAAAGTGACATCTAAAAACACTGAGGATTATATTTTCAAAAACAAGACGCTAATTCAGAAGTTCTTGCTCTAAGTCTTCACTATATTACCACAGTGAACTAATAAATAATCAAAGCCCAAGGCAGTTACTTACGTGTAGTAACGACCAGTGAGTTTACAATGATGAAGTTATCAATAATAACAGTGATCAGTGAAGCGGGAAAAAAATTCAAATGTTGAGTGTGCTTCACTATTCTGTTTATACAATATTGAAACAGCTATAATATTCAAACACCCAGAAAACTCGAAGCTATATGAAATAACAACTGATAGCTCTGAAATACTGCAACACTGAAGTTCTTAATGACCAAAAAACAGGTGAAATTTTGTTTGGTACAATTTTAGTTAAGCTTATCAACACAGACTATATATTTTTGTTATCCATGTAAGACATACACAAAACCTTTATTAACTGACTAGATTGTTCAATAAATAGAACTCTCCATAGTATGACTGTTAGGGATGAATGAGCTTATAATTCAGTGAGACCCTTTTAAGAAGTTCTAGTCAATAGAACGGTATGTTTAAATTGGTCCTATTCTTTTCAACACCAAAAACCTCCAACTCCTTTACAAGATAATTAATTCCTCTGAACATCATCTTAAAAGGGCCTCACTTGACTTTTGTAATAATAAATCACAACTTTAGGATTGCTCTCCAGTCTCTGTCCTATGAGTTCTTGAGGAGTTTCCATCCACAGCAAGACAGCACATAGATCTTTCCATGGGGTTTCCATTTGAGGTTCACAGTACAACTTTATCACTTTTTGCAGAGCACCCTGCCCTTCTCTAGGCTTTTGATATAACATAAAATTAATAATGGCATGTGGTGTTCCTTAGCATAACTTGCCAAAATGTGATAATTTCCTTAGAAGAAAAACCATGGGCTGCAATCACACGCCTGAGCTGACAGACATCCAAATGGATCCTATATAAAAAGAAAAGGTTGGTGTCTTCTGGAATATGAATGTCCACTTTTAATAAATTCAAACAGATCCCAACATAAACATCTTCAAACTTGATGGGCTTTACATGACCCATCATTTCATAAATCCTTGGTACCAAATCTCTGGACATTATGTATCCCAGCCCGCTGCAGTAGGGAGGAAACACCTTGAAAGGATACTCCTGATATGAAATATGGGATTTTTGGTAAAATCCTCTATAGGAATAATTATCAATTAGAGGATAACCTGTGAAAAACTTCTCAGACTGATTTAAGTTTAAAAGATACTTCACTAAATTGCCAGTATTGATGAAAACATCAGTGTCGGTCTTCATGACATACTTAGCATTGGGGCAAAACTCAGTCACCCACCTGAATGCCATAATTGTTTTCAAGGTCAGGTTATTATACGTGTCTAAAAAATCTTGGCGAATTATATCACCATAAAGAAGGTTCTCATCCTCTAAGGTCAATGCTAACATTTTGTCTTCCCTTTCAGCCTGTTGGCCTAATAAAAAAAATGTAAGAACTTCATATCCCCACCAAGACTTTTTCTCACCCCAAGTGACTCTAATGGCCTGTCTGGCTTTCACATCTGAGGGGTTTGAGGTGACCAGGATGACAAGAAATGGGTTTTGATGTGAGCAGTTTGAATGTTCTCGAAGTGTGAAGTGAAAGTCTTGTCTGTAAATTGGCTCATACTCATAGAAGTACATGAGGTTTACACGTTCTATCACATTGTAGTGGGGAAGGCTGAAGTACCATATCACGAGGAAACTCAGGAGTGACAGCAGCAGAAGGCTCCATTTGAGGGATCTCAGTGACATCCTACTTGGAAGTGTGGTCCAGAGAGCCAGGGCCATCCACAGCAGCTGGGAAGCACGCAGACTTGAGGTTCTGGAAGATTTATCACAGACCTGGTTAGTATTACTGCACCACCCAAGACACATTCTCAAATGATATCTGACTATCTATTCAAGGGCAAGAAAGTAAGAGAACAAAGCACAATCCCAAATCCTAACCTAAACCTATTTAATTTCATTAGGCTATAAATGGATGTGCACCAACAAACAAGAATAAATGCACTTGAGATTTTTACAGCAAAATCAAAATTAAAAACACATCCTTGGTTATTTTGGGCAAACTAGTATCTATTTTGTTAGTATACACAGAATATTTGAGGGGACTTCAAAAAGTTCACAGAATAATGGAATTAAAACAGAATGGAACTTTTTGGAGCCCCCTCGTAAGTGATAGCAAACACATAATAACTATGTTTATTACAGGATTTTGTCCTAGATGCTCACAGGACAAAAGAGATGGGAAATGGCAGGTAGAAAAATAATCTACAATTAAAAAAATAAACCACATTTCTTCTTTGTTGTTGTTAGGTGCTATCGAGTTAGCACCAACTCACAGAGACCCTATGCACAACAGAATGAAACATTGCCTGGTCCTGGGCCAACCTCACAATTGTTGCTACTCTGCCATCATTAAAATGAAGTAGAGGATCTGATTTAAGAAGGGAAATTAAGAAAAAGGCCTTTTTAAACTGTGTAATCAGATATGGGTTCTAGCAAATCTAGAGTAAGAAAAATCCTGCAATTCCAATTATCCAAGGTGATCTGCTGATGGGGATAAGATAAAGGTGGAGACTCCTTCATCTGAGAGTGACAAGTCTTCTAGACTCAAATAGAATAAACATCTCATGAATTTATAAATAAATACTCAGACTGTGACATAGTTTTTACTTGCCTCAAATTCTATCCCAGTCTCGTCTTTCTATCATTGGCTAAACTCAATGCTTACTCTGGATCCAAACAAAATCAAACTACTTGCCACAGAGTCAATTCCAACTCATGGTGACCCCACCTTGTTACAGAGCAGAACTGAGTTCCATAGGATTTTCTTGGCTGTAGATAAGCACTTGACCAGCCCCTCCTCGGAAACCCTACAGAGGGTTGCTATGAGTCAGAATCGACTTGATGGCCTTTAACAACAATCCTTAAAGAAGCAGATTTTCAGGACTTTCCTCTGAGGAGCCACTGGGGGATGGGAGTTCAAGTAGCCAACCTTTTAGTTAGTAATCAAGTACGGCACTTGCACCACTATGTTTATATTGTTGTTAAGTGCTGTGGAGTCAGTTCCAACGCAAAGTGACCCTGTATAGGGTTTCCAAGGAGCAGCTGGGTGAGTATGAATCGCTGACCTTGTAGTTTAAACCCATCTTGCAGTGCAGTGCCTTAATCTGCAGCACCACACCAGGATTCCTCTTGTACCACTATGTTATTGGTAAGTAATGTCGAGTCAGTTCTGACACATAGTGACCCTGTTTAGGGTTTCCAAGGAGCAACTGGTGGGTTTGAACTGCCGACCTTGCAGTCTGCGCTCCAGTGCTGATCCACAGTGCCACGCCAGAAGTTCTGCACCACTATAGTGAGTGCTTAAATTAAAGGCCTGTTCTTAGTTTGCCATTTCAATCTATTCAGAAATACTATACCAGATTGGAATCACGAACCTCCCTGAATACTTGTCTTTACATAGAACATTCAGTTGGGACAAGAAAACAGAGCTCTGTGACACAGAGCAGTAAGATGACCCACAGGAGAAATTGGTTTACAATCTGAGATCCCAGAGAGCTTTCCTGGTATCTTGCTCATAGGTCTCAGTCTAACAGATGCATGTTCTAAGTGTTCACTAGACTACACCAGGTACTTACTACAGGGTCCAAAGGCAGCAGGAGATGGGATAAGGAAGGAAATCCCAAGGAACCATGTAAACCTGGCATGACAGTATAGTACATATTTTATATAAAATGCTAAAGAACTTCAGAATAAGAAAAAGATCAACTCATTGAGGGGATGGATGGGGAAGGCTCTGACAGGTGCCCTGTTCACCCAAAATCATGTTGGGGAAAGGGTTTCCTGGAAACCCAGAATTTACTATGGAGGGTGTAAATGGCTAAGAGTCAGGTCTACCAAGGGTTCTACCTTGGGTCAATTTTAGACTTTCAATTATGAATTTAGTAAAGGTTTACTGAGCAGACCAGTTTTACATTCAGCAAATTATAAACTTTGCTTCCACATACCATATAAACTTTCCCCTCCATATACCATCAATTAACAGTATTTACGTCTATTCACTTTGATTCTTATATTCCTCCTTGTGTCTCGTGTTCCTTTCATCTTTCCTCTGCTAACCTCCCTCTTATTGTATTTTGCCTACCCTGTTATCCATGTTAACATGTGGCACTGTGGAATAATGTGTCAGACTGCAAAGTTGTTTGAACTGCAAGGTCGGTGGTTCAAGCTCATCAGCTGCTCCTTGGAAACCCTATACAGGGTCACTATGGGTTGGAATTGACTCAATGGCACTTAACAACAACAACAACAACAACTCTTTACCTAGTGAATAATTTCCACCCCATGGTAACCATCACAGAGTGTTCCAGTTAGCAGGAAAATCTTTTCTTAACTTTTTACAATAATGAACTCATACAATATTTGTCCTTTTGTGATTGACTAATTCCACTCAGCATAATGTCCTCCAGGTTCATCCACATTGTGAGGTGTGTAGCAGCCTCATCTTTCCTCTTCAATGCTGCATAATATTCCATTGTGTGTATGTAACAAAGTTTGTTTAACCATTCTTCTGTTGATGGACATCTTTTTGCTATTGTGAGCAGTGCTGCAATGAATATGGATATACATATATTTAGTCCTGTCACAGCTCCTCTTTCTGGAGGATATATACCAAGTAAAGGGATGGCTGGGATCACATGGTGTTTCTAGTTCCAACTGTTTGAGAAAGCACTAACTGTTTTCCACAGTGGTTGAACCATTTTACAATCCCACCAACAGTGTAGGAGGGTCCCAATTTCTCCATACTTTTGTCAGCATTTGCTGTTTTATGTTTTATGAACGTTGCTATTAATGCTGGTGTAATATGAGTCCTGGTGTGGCGCCATGGTTTAATGTGTCAGACTGCAAAGCCGTTTAAACTGCAAGGTCAGTGGTTCAAGCTCACCAGCTGCTCCTTGGAAACCCTATTCAGGGTCGCTATGGGTCGGAATCAACTCAACGGCACTTAACAACAACAACAAAAAAGATGATAATCTCGTTGTTTTGCTTTGCATCTCTCTATGGACTCCTGGTGTAATGCTATAGGATCAACACTGGACTGCAAACTACAAGGTTGGCAGTTCAAACCTACCAGGTGCTCCTTGGAAATCCCATGCAGGGGCGCTATGAGTCAGAACTGACTCCATGGCACTTACCAACCACAAATGGCTAATGATCGTGATCAGTTTTTCATATGTCTGTTGGTCACTGAATGTTTCTCTGGTGAAGTGTTTGTTCATGTCCTCTGCCCATTCTTTAATTGTTTTATTTGTTCTTCTAGTTGAGGTATTCAAGTGTTCTATAGATATTGGGAAGTATTTCTATGTCTGGTATTTCATGACCAAACGTTTTCCCCAGTCTGTGGGTTCTCTTTTTACTCTTTTGGTAAAATTCTTTGATGTACATGTCTTTTAGAAGGTCCTAGTCATCTATTTTGTCTTCTGCTTGTGTGTTTTCTGTTATGTTTCATAGTGTATTTATAGCATGTATCAGAGCCCCTAGGTTTGCCCCTAGTTTTTCATTGATGGTCTTTGTAGTTCTAGGCTTTACATTTAGGTCTTTAATCCACACTGAGCTCAGTTTTGTATGTGGTGTGAGATACAGATCTTGTTGCATTTTTCTGTAATGGACTTTTAATTTTTCCAGCCCAGTGCCATTTGTTAAAAAGACTCTCTCTTCCCAATGTAATGCAATTTAACCCTTTATCCAAGGTCAGCTGACTGGAGGTGGATGGATTGACTTCTGGGTTCTCAATTCTGTTCCATTGATCTATGTGTCATTCTTTGTACCAGTACCAGGTTGTCTTGCCTACTGTGACTGCATAGTAGGTTTTAAGATCCAGAAGTGGGAGGCCTCCATCTCTTAAAAAAATGATGTTGGTACTTGGATTGGGATTGCAATGTAGAGATTGCTTGGGGTAGTAGTAACATTTTTTACAATGTTAAACCTTCCTATCCACAAGCAGATATACTCTGTACCTCAGTTTAAGGTAGTTTTGTCTGGTGTTGGCTGCTATTTATTGCTGATCAGGTGGGATAGGAGCTGGTATTGGTTCTTGCACAGTTGGAAGAGCTGCAGAGAGTACATTGTGGCTGGGCTACATGGGCATAGTTGCTTTCTCCTGTCACGAGGGAAAGAGGAGTGACACGCCCCACCTCCTCCAGTAGATACACATGAGGAAGGAAACAGTATAAATAAGCAAGAAGCAACAATGAAGAGAGAAAATAATAAAGGAGAAAAAAAAAATTAAAAACAGGCAGTAAAGAGGAAAAATCTAATATAATAAAAAGAGAAATGAGGAACAAGAAAATGTAGCTATAGAAGAGAAAATAAAAAGATGAAATAAAAATAAAAATAACCCTTAGCAAAACCAGGGAGAGAGAAGTTGAAAAACAGAAAGAGAGTAGAGTATAAAATGATCAAAAGGGGACAAAAAAGAAGAGGATAAATGAAAAACAAAAGAAAAGAAGGAAAGATAAAAGTGGAGAGAGAAAGGATAAAATTCATGGGAATGGCAAGAGAAGGAGGAGGAGAAGAATAAACAAAAAAATAATGAACCAACAAAAGGGAAAAACAAATCCTGAAACAACAACAAAAACAGTGCAGCTGTTGGACCAGGAGAGAAAACTCTAGGTCAGCCACAAACACGGTGAGTTGGGAGGAATGTGGAAGCAGAGTTCCTGGCCCTAGATGGAGAGCCTATCTACGTTCAGGGCACTCAATCTGGAAGTAGTTTGTGGAGG